TTAAGATGAGGTCATACTGGAATAGGGTGGGCACTAACCCAATGGCTGGTGTCCTAATAAGAAGAGGAAAGACATGCAATGATATGCACAACGAATAAGATCATGAAAAGATGAAGGCAGAGATTGGAATGACCTGCTGCAGCCAAGATATGCCAAGGATTGAAAGGAGCCCCCGGAAGCTAGGAATAGACAAGGAAGCATTCTTTCCTGGAGCCTTCAGCAGGAGTATGGCCATGTGACACCTTGATCTCAGACTTCTCGTCTCCAGAATTGGGAGAGAACTATAAGTACAGTGTCTACTGTTTTAAGCCACCCAGTTTGTGCTGAATTGTTATGGCAGCCCCAGAAAACAAATAATGATACCTGTGTAAAGTTCTTGGTATGTAGCTAGAACATGCTGGCATTCTTCTTTCCCTTCCCTTCTCCTACTCCTAAATGTGCACATGTGTGCTCACTTTGGCAGCACGTATACTAAAATTGGAACGATACAGAGAAGATCAGCCTGGCCCCTGCACAAGGATGACATGCAAATTTGTGAAGCGTTCCATATTTTTTCAATCAAGTCCAGGAAATGCAGAGTCCCATACAGGATAAATATAAGGAGAAACATGCCAAAACACGTATAAATCAAGCTATCAAAAATTAAATACAAAGAAAAAGAGAAGGAAAAGACGTACAATAACAAACCCAAAACAATTAAGAAAATGGTGATAGGAACATACATATTGATAACTACCTTAAATGTAAATGGATTAAATGCTTCCACCAAAAGACATAGACTGCCTGAATGGATACAAAAACAAGACCCATATATATGCTGTCTACAAGAGACCCACTTCATACCTAGGTACACATGCAGCCTGAAAGTGAGGGGATGGAAAAAGATATTCCATATAAATGGAAATCAAAAGAAAGATGGAGTAGCAATTCTCATATCAGACAAAATAGACTTTAAAATAAAGACTATTACAAGAGACAAAGAAGAACACTACACAATGATCAAGGGATCAGTCCAAGAAGAAGATATAACAATTGGAAATATTTATGGACCCAACATAGGAGCACCTCAATATATAAGGCAAATGCTAACAGCCATAAAAAGGGAAATTGACAGTACCACAATCATAGTAAGGGACTTTAACACCCCACTTTCGCCAACGGACAGATCAACCAAAATGAAAATAAATAATGAAACATAAGCTTAAATGATACAATAAACAACATGGACTTAAGATACTTATAGGACATTCCATCCAAAAACAACAGAGTACACTTTCTTCTCAAGTGCTCTCCAGGATAGATCATATCTTGAGTCACAAATCAAGCCTTGGTAAATTTAAGAAAATTGAAATCATATCAAGTATCTTTTCTGACCACAACGGTATGAGACTAGATATCAATTACAGGAAAAAATCTGTAAAAACTACAACCACATGGAGGCTAAACAATACACTACTAAATAACCAAGAGATCACTGAAGAAATCAAAGAGGAAATCAAAAAATACCTAGAAACAAATGACAATGAAAACACGATGACCCAAAACCTATGGGATGCAGCAAAAGCAGTTCTAAGAGGGAAGTTTATAGCAATACAGTCCTACCTCAAGAAACAAGAAACATCTCAAATAAACAACCTAACCTTATACCTAAAGCAATTAGAGAAAGAAGAACAAGAAAACCCCAAAGTTGGCAGAAGGAAAGAAATCATAAATTTCAGATCAGAAATAAATGAAAAAGCAATGAAGGAAACAATAGCAAAGATCAATAAAACTAAAAGCTGGTTCTTTGAGAAGATAAACAAAATTGATAAACCATTAGCCAGACTCATCAAGAAAAAAAGGGAGAAGACTCAAATCAAAAGAATTAGAAATGAAAAAGGAGAAGTAACAACTGACACTGCAGAAATACAAAGGATCATGAGAGATTACTACAAGCAACTCTATGCCAATAAAATGGACAACATGGAAGAAATGAACAAATTCTTAGAAATGCACAACCTTCTGAGACTGAATCAGGAAGAAATAGAAAATATAAACAGACCAATCAAAGCATTGAAATTGAGACTGTGATTAAAAATCTTCCAACAAACAAAAGCCCAGGACCAGATGGCTTCACAGGTGAATTCTATCAAACATTTAGAGACGAGCTAACACCTATCCTTCTCAAACTCTTCCAAAATATAGCAGAGAGAGGAACACTCCCAAATTCATTCTACAAGGCCACCATCACCTTGATACCAAAACCAGACAAGGATGTCACAAAGAAAGAAAACTACAGGCCAATATCACTGATGAACATAGATGCAAAAATTCTCAACAAAATACTAGCAAGCAGAATCCAACAGCACATTAAAAGGATCATACACCATGATCAAGTGGGGTTTATTCCAAGAATGCAAGGATTCTTCAATATACGCAAATCAATCAATGTGATAAACCATATTAACAAATTGAAGGAGAAAAACCATATGATCATCTCAATAGATGCAGAGAAAGCTTTTGACAAAATTCAACACCCTTTTATGATAAAAACCCTGCAGAAAGTAGGCATAGAGGGAACTTTCCTCAACATAATAAAGGCCATATATGACATACCCACAGCCAACATCCTTCTCAATGGTGAAAAACTGAAACCATTTCTTCTGAGATCAGGAACAAGACAAGGTTCTCCACTCTCACCACTATTATTCAACATAGTTGGGGAAGTTTTAGCCACATCAATCAGAGAAGAAAAAAAATAAATGGAATCCAAATCGGTAAAGAAGAAGTAAAGCTTTCACTCTTTGCAGATGACATGATACTATACAAAGATAATCCCAAGGATGTTGCCAGAAAACTACTAGAACTAATCAATGAATTTGGTAAAGTAGCAGGATACAGAATTAATGCACAGAAATCCCTTGCATTCCTATACACTAATGATGAAAAATCTGAAAGAGAAATTAAGGAAACACTCCCATTTACCATTGCCACATAAAGAATAAAATACCTAGGAATAAACTTACCCAAGGAGATAAAAGACCTGTATGCAGAAACCTATAAGACACTGATGAAAGAAATTAAAGGTGATACAAACAGATGGAAAGATATACCATGTTCTTGGATTGGAAGAATCAACATTGTGAAAATGACTATACTACCCAAAGCAATCTACAGATTCAGTGCAATCCCTATCAAACTACCAATGGCATTTTTCACAGAACTAGAACAGAAAATTGCACAATTTGTATGGAAACACAAAAGACCCCGAATAGCCAAAGCAATCTTGAGAAAGAGAAATGGAGCTGGAGGAATCAGGCTCCCTGACTTCAGACTATACTACAAAGAAGCTACAGTAATCAAGACAGTATGGTGTTGGCACAAAAACATAAATATAGATCAATGGAACAGGATAGAAAGCCCAGAGATAAATCCACTCACATATGGTCACCTTATTTTTGATAAAGGAGGCAAGAATATACAATGGAGAAAAGACAGACTCTTTAATAAGTGGTTCTGGGAACACTGGACAGCTACATGTAAACTAATGAAATTAGAACACTCCCTAACACCATACACAAAGATAAACTCAAAATGGATTGAAGACCCACATGTAAGGCCAGAAACTATCAAACTCTTAGTGGAGAACATAGGCAGAACACTCTGTGACATAAATCACAGCAAAATCCTTTTTGACCCACCTCCTAGAGGAATGGAAATAAAAATAAACAAATGGGACCTAATGAAACTTAAAAGCTTTTGCACGGCAAAGGAAACCATAAACAAAACAAATTGGAGAAAATATTTGCCAATGAAGCAACTGAAAAAGATTGATCTCCAAAATTTACAAGCAGCTCATGCAGCTCAATCTCAAAAAAACAAACAACCCAATCCAAAAATGGGCAGAAGACCTAAATAGACATTTCTCCAAAGAAAATATACAGATTGCCAACAAACACATGAAAGGATGCTCAACATCACTAATCATTAGAGAAATGCAAATCAAAATTACCATGAGGTATCCCCTCACGTTAGTCAGAATGGCCATCATCAAAAAATCTACAAACAATAAACGCTGGAGAGGGTGTGGAGAAAAGGGAACCGTCTTGCACTGTTGGTGGGAATGTAAATTGATATAGCCACTATGGAGAACAGTATGGAGGTTCCCTAAAAAACTAAAAATAGAACTACCATATGACCCAGCAATGCCACTGCTGGGTATACACCCTGAGAAAACCATAATTCAATGAGAGTCATGTACTACAATGTTCACTGCAGCTCTATTTACAATAGCCAGGATATGGAAGCAACCTAAGTGTCCATCGACTGATGAATGGATAAAGAAGACGTGGCACATATATACAATGGAATATTACTCAGCCATAAAAAGAAATGAAATTGAGTTATTTGTAGTGAGGTGGATGGACCTAGAGTCTGTCATACAGAGTGAAGTAAGTCAGAAAGAGAAAAACAAATACCATATGCTAACACGTATACATGGAATCTAAGAAAAAAAAAAGTCATGAAGAACCTAGGGGTAAGACAGGAATAAAGACACAGACCTACTAGAGAATGGACTTGAGGATATGGGGAGGGGGAAGGGTAAGCTGTGACAAAGCTAGAGAGAGACAGGGACATATATACACTACCAAACGTAAAATAGATAGCTAGTGGGAAGCAGCCACATAGCACAGGGAGATCAGCTCAGTGCTTTGTGACCACCTAGAGGGGTGGGATAGGGAGGGTGGGAGGGAGCCGCAAGAGGGAGGGGATATGAGGATATATGTATATGTACAGCTGATTCAGTTTGTTATAAAGCAAAAACTAACACACCTTTGTGAAGCAATTATACTCCAATAAAGATGTTAAAAAAAATTTTTTTAACCAAAAATAAAAGAAAAAAAAAGACACATGCACCCCAGTGTTCATTGCAGCACTATTTACGATAGCCAGACATGGAAACAACCTAAAACAAGTAAATACATAAATAAATACATAAATAAATAAATATGCACACACAGGTCAATGAGTACTTGCATGCAGAGACGTGCCACTGAAAGTAAAACCAAAACTTGCCAGTAGGTTGGGCTTCAGTCAGTTCCTTAGCATCAGTTTTGGTTTGAATTGTACTCATATTAAGAGAAAGCCTGAGTTGGATGGGGATGATATCTTTTCTTGTCTTGCTCAGTGTACCTTATCCCCACAGTTTTCTGTCATCCATCCTCGTGCGTCCCTCTGCCAGCTAAAAAGAACCCTGGGTTGGAGCTACTACTTGTTGCATTGGTCTCAGCAGCAACCTAGGTTTTGTTTTTGTTTTGGCTGTTTGTTTTGTTGGCTTCTATGAGGGAATCTGACAAAGAGCAACTGTTTGTTGTTTTATTTTCTTTTGCGTCTTTGCCTGAGGAGCCGTGCCAAGGCCTGATGTGAGTATCGAGTGGGTTGAGATTTTCTCATACTTTGAGTTGGTGTTGTAGACCATGATGAGCATGCCATAGTTGGGTAAGCATGGGCACATTTTCTCTCCACACCATTGGAGGCAGGGGAAACTGCCTCAGAAATTGTGCTCAGGTACACAAACAAGCTAATTTCCTCCTGTCCTCAAAATAGTAGGATTTCTCTTGCTGGTCCTATGCTTATTATTCTTCTTGAGCAGTTTTATGAGGTGGGTTATTTTTTTTTCTGCACAAAATAAATCTGCACCAAAAAAAATTTACTCCTAAAGTTGTCTCTCTGCTTAGAATTTTGAAGTGTTAATGGAACTTAAAAATTTGGATTTTTACATCTAACACCTGTTTGTGATTATCCCTTTGGCAGGCAGTCAACATTCCAGTCTAGCCTGTGTTTACAAGCTATATTCAAGTGTAAGCTGTTAAAAAAAAAAAAAAAACTATAATTACATTAACTTATAATATAGGCAACCATTATTTAACAAAAGCGTGATTTGGGCCTACTAAAATGCTTAATATTCTACATAAAATGATGAAAGAGTGTTTAGCAAAATGAAGGAAAACTGCAACTATTGCTATTTATTGGTCACTATCCAGGTGCACATAGTAGAAAAGTGATGACGATGGATTTATGTGAGAAAGGGTTGAAGTGAGGAGGTGAAACTTGAATGAAATTACCTACAAATAAGGTCTTGTGACCCTGAAATTCTGTGGTTCTGTGGAAGGGAGTGATTAACATACATTGACAAAAATGTACAGTAAGAATATTCAGTGTGAGCAGTAATCAGACAGTTGTAGCAGGAGTCAAATGCCAATTGATCTGGATGTTTTTTAAGCTCCCTTTGAAGCCTAAGATTCTATGAATAGATGAAATCTTATCTCTTGCCACTTGGAACTGGTCTATTTGCCTTTATTACCTGAACTCTCACCATCAGCAGGATGTTCCTTTCCCACTCTTCAACGTGTCTTCTCAGATTTCTTCTGTGAGCCTTTCCATTAAACTGTAGCTCCTCATAGGCAAAGACCACACCTTTTAGGTTCTCTGAATCCCAAGTACCCCTCACAGTGCCTCACAATATGCATGGGTGCTCATTGGGTGCTTGTTGAGTTGTTGAATTAATTGATTTGATGAAGTGGCTGGTGAATCACCAGATGTGGGATATTTGCATAATATACAGCGGACATTGGGGCTGATGGAGGTGATGCAGATTTCTCAGGGACAGTATTAGGGATCATGCTTCAGAGCTGACTTTCTTTAAGATGCATCGGACAGTGATCCATAGGTTGTCGTGTGTAATTTTTATTCCACATGGCAACGTTCAAATATACCACATGACTTAACTGTAGCATACTTGGGTTACCCTGTAATGAGGCAACTGCAGCCTGACCTCCTCATGTCCCACACTGCTCTACTGCTGTGGGGCTCTCTCATGTTGTGTTCCCCTAATCTTCAAATTGACTAACAGAATTCCAGGATAGATAAAGGAATCTGAAAGGTTATCCAGCCCCAATCACCTCAATACCCTCCAGCCCTCCCTAATAACCCTGGGGCTGATTCCCAGTTCCTAGTCTCCCGACCTCTCTATTGTCAACCACTTCTGCTTCTTGGGATTTCCTCCCTCGGCTCTGAGATATTGTGATGGGGAAGCTTTTCACTCTTAGGATCATTTCTTCTCTGCTTTTGTCTCTGGTCTCTTACTCCCGCTCTCCAAATTTTGGGGCATTCCTCAGAGTTCAGATCTTTTCTTTCTAACCTCTCTTTTTATACTCTCCCCCTCAGAGAGTTAATTCATTCCCCAAAGTCAACTAACATTTTATTACAAATAACTTCTTTATCTTTATCTCTAGTCCCAAATTGTGTTCCACACTCCAGACCTACATTTTTCTTGACTGCCTTGCATTACTTCATGACTCAAACCTAGCTCATCATCTTCCCTTTAAAAATCAGCTCTTGGGCTTCCCTGGTGGCGCAGTGATTGAGAGTCCGCCTGCCGATGCAGGGGACACGGGTTCGTGCCCCGGTCCGGGAATATCCCACATGCCGTGGAGCAGCTGGCCCATGAGCCATGGCTGCTGAGCCTGCGCGCCTGGAGCCTGCGTGCCTGGAGCCTGTGCTCCGCAACAGGAGAGGCCACAACAGTGAGAGGCCCGCGTACCGCAAAAAAAAAAAAAAATCAGCTATTGATCTTATATTTCCTCCCCCCCACCCCCACCCAATGACATCAATATTGTTTTGATAGTCTGACCTCAAAACCACAGTCAACTTGTTGCTTCTGTTTCTTTCCCATGTGACTAATCACTTGTCAATTGTTTTGTCAGTTGTCCTGTCAATTATCTTATTGACAGGAAGTTTCTCCTTCCTCTCCCTTTCTTCCCTCTTCTGATCCTAAATCAGATGCTTTACCAAACATCTGGATGAACACTGTGACCCCCTAATCAAGTAGCTGGCCTCCAATTCCACTCTCCCTCTATTACATACTGAAAAAAACAAACTCAGATTTAATCTTTTCAAACTTCTTTGTTATTGTCACTCAGTTTTTGAGTGACTGTCACTGTTTTTTATTGGCAGCTCTACCTGGCACTAAGCTCTCAATATTCTTGTCCCAAACTTATTTCCAGCCAGGTTATGCTGTTCATTGTCTTCCTTAACATGCCCTGTGTGTTTGCACCTCTAAAACTTTGCTCCTGACTCATCTGCAGTGCCCTCAAGAGTTGTTCCAACTCTCCAATTTCTACCAGTGCTTCAAAGACTCATTTCAAATCCCATCCGAGAAGTCTCCCTTCTTCCAGTCAGCTTCCAGGGTTTTTGCATCATCATGCAAAATATTTTACACCACTTCTTAGTATTTTTCATGTGTATGAGTTTTAAACTTCTGACTATGTTATAATGTCTTTAAGGGCAGGAATCCTTTCTTAGATGAATCCTTCTATTGATTCTCCACAGTCTAATGCAAAGACTTGCAAAAAATGGCAGCTCAGTGTTTATTGACTAAAAAGTTGAGATTCAATTTGAATTTAAGTTAAATTGAAGGCTACAGATTGTCTACATATGTCTAGATGGTTTAGATATTGAATACTGAATCCACCTCTAAAAACAGAGCCACTGTTGTTAAGATTCCCTAAAATCTCAAATGCCTGTAGGAACTGGTAGACAGTAAAATGTGTGATCATACAATAGGGAGTAGCAGGGCCTGGGGCAAACTCTGCATTACTTGCCAAAGGCACTCAGATCCAAATTATTTTAAAACATTGCTACTTACAATTCTTGCTTTAGACACTTGGCTTCAAAAACAGTGATTAAGTCAGGTATTTCAGTTCAGTTTGTTGTGTTTATCTAGGTCTTCACAGATATCCAGGGCTGTGCTAGACACTTGGGAAGAGGGAGAAGCAAAATGAGTTAAGACTGGCAATGTTCAGCAGAGAATAAAGTGTTATACAAGCATGATCCTTTATGCTGGTTATTATTACACAAAGAAATTATTTGCTAGGATTCTTGAGATATTTCCATAAAGTACCTGTGCCTTAGTTGTTCTAGAGACCAGAGAATTCTGAAAGCTTTGTTTCTGTCTTATTTACCTCTGCATACCAGAGCTTGCCACACAGAAAATAGAGAGTAAATGTCTTGAATAAAAGAAAGAAAGAATTAAAACCTCTGTACATAATTTCAGCACCATAAATTTCATTTCATCTATAAATTCACAAATAGCTTTCAGTAGATAGGTGAAATGGCAAGAAACTGGGCCTGAAGCAACCAGAAAGTGAACCTTCTAGCACCTATAGTAATTTTTGGTTCTCTTGCAAATTTTGCTTGGAAAAGTTTTCCTGCTTACATTTTCTGCTTACAACCTTCTCAGAATTTACAGAAATTTTCTTGATTTTTCTGGAAAGATACGACTTCTTAATACAATTGAATAAATTGCTGTTAGTATCTTTTATGGAGAAATAAGCAGAATAAGATCTAAACATCTACTAAGCAGAAGGTTAGACGTAACCTATTAAATACAAGATAGACAAGAAGTACTCTGAAAGGTACAACAGTTCTGTGAACATTTACTTAGGAGGTACAGGGGAGTAGTCGTGAAAGAGGTGGTGCTGAGTGAGTCTTAAAGACTAGGTAGATTTTACCAGGCGAAACCTTCGTGGGTTAGTGAAAGGAGTGGCCATATTAGGAATTCATGGGAATTTTAGACCAAAGATCATCAGTCACCATCCTAAGTAATAATGACAATGAATGTAAAGAACGCTTTGCCATTTACCAAGTATTTTTCACGTACCTTGTCCACAGTCATTTCTGTTTATTGACTGTGGTGTGGTCAAGAGCTTCAGATATTAGAGAACTCGATGATTTCCGATTTCCACCCCTCGCAATCTCACCATGTTAGAAGGACCATTTATGGCTCTTGGACCACAGGAGCATGATCTAATCATTCAGTGAATATTAATGAGGACCCACCATGTATTAGGAGCTGTTTGGGGTGCCAGAGATATAATAAGGAACAAAAACAGACAGAAATTTCTGCCCTTGGGGAGCTTAATCTTCTTGAGCAGGATAGAGAAACAGAGGAAAAAGAGAAGCAGCAGCAGCAGAAGCAAAAGGAGAAGCAGAAGAAGCAGAAGGAGCAGAAGGAGCAGAAGGAGGAAGAAGAAGAGGAGGGGGAGGGAGGAGAATGTCCACTGAAGCAGGAACCTTCCACTTGACGGTATCCATAAACTCTTGAAGATTTCTCCAGGTCCACGTCTCCCTAGATGAGGACACAACTGACCAACCAAACTTTGCATTACTGGTCACTAGCTCTGCCACAACCTAGGCAACAAAGGTTATGCAACTCCCCACATTACTTTATGTTCCTAATAACAAAGTGCCTAAATTATCAAAAGTTTAACTTTATGTCTATGTACACATTCATATATATACACATTTATAAGTTGAAGTTTTTTACTTATCTCCATGATATCATTTTAACTCACTTTCTTAA